TACACGATTCCGAGGGGTCGATTCCCATCGGGGATACCGCGACTGGCCGCAGCCAACCCGGTGACGGGCTTTAAATAAATAAAGAGTAAGTCCGTGAAGGGAGTCGAGAAAGACGGAGGGGTTGCTCCGGCAGGAGAACGAATGGCAAATCGAGGGAGAGCATCGAGGGGGAGGCGCATCCTGGGAGCCATGCATCAAGCCCTATTACTCTCGGCAGCCTAACTGCTGCTTGGTAGACGTAACTGAAATCCGAGGGAATCTGCTCACCTTGTCCTCCACCAGGTTCACGGGTCGATGATTTTCAGGGATGGGATTTTGCTTGCCAACTGTAACGATTGCGGTTAGGTCACATTGTTATTTGGAAGATTCCTTGCAGTCCACGAGGCACTTTTCGTATTTTGTTCCGCTATATTGGAGCCGCCATTTTGAATTTTTGAATTCCAAGTTCAGATTTGAAATCAGCGACCCCAAAAACCTCTGTATACCAAGTTTCGCGAAAATCGTTCCAAAGGTACTCTAGATATTCAAGGGAAACCCCGTAAGGGTGATTGTTGTCATCTTCGTCCAGGAAATACTACGGCATTTGCGATTTTTTTCTACTTTACTATCTACTACTACATAGTGCGTAAACACTTCCGGTTATTAATGTAGGTCAGTGTTCAATCATTCATTCATCCAATCATACTATTAGGAAACTTTTAGGAAACTTTGGACTCTCGTAGCTCGGCGTGGAATCGTCCAATTTACTTCTAACAAAAACCAAATTAAAGGATGGAATTTTCTCTATCTGATACATACTTATTATCACTGCTAGATATTGTTAAACAATTGTTTTGTTTATTGCTCCTCCGAATATGAACTATCGTGTATTTGTTGGTAACCATGTCCGATTGTTTTGAAACTTTGCATGCATCTAAAACATAGAAAAATATTTGACACGTATTTTTTTATTTTGTTTCATTTGTGTATTTAGGGGATGAAACCACCCCTCAAAGTCTATAAAATATGTACACTTTACCATTTGACCAATTTTCGCGAAATTTTGGTATACAGGGGTTTTTGGATGCGCTGATTCCAAATCTGAACGCAGAATTTAGAAATTCAAAATGTCGGCTCCGATACAGCGATACAAAATGGGAAAAGTGACTCGATATAAATAACAGTTGGTAAACGAGGGTTTTTGGCTTCTTTGAACGTAATTGTTACACTAATCATCAAGTATTAACACTATACTAACAAACCAGCAATGCGAAACGAGGACTTAATATCGTTGCGACGATCAATCATCGCGACGGAATTGCCAGTTCGTTTTTATCGTGTTTCCGTAAAACTTTCTCGCCCGTCACGGTTCCCAACTCCGTGACCTTTCATTGGGAACGTCCTAGGATATCAGGAATCCGAGTTCCCCGCGAGTCGCGTGACCAGGAGGCGATAAAATCGCCAAGAAATCTCGAGAACCTCCAGCCGGATGAGGGGCGACAACTTGAACACGTAGCGCTCGCGTGAGGACAGCCGAGGGGTGTTTGTTTCATTTTTTTGTTTCTTTTTTTTTTTTGCTCCGCAGACTGTGAACGACTTGCATGCAACATAATCTCTGGGAAGATTATTAGACGTGACCGTCTGGAAAGTGAATTATGTTTCAGACTTTCGTTGAAAACTCAAACGAGGTTTGGACTAATGCGTACATTGTCCATAAGGAAAGAATTCTATTTGAATGTATTCTATGCCGCATGACTTAAACATTTCTTTAAATAAAAATATCGTAGGCATCGTTGTCAGTGTTGCTCAAAAAATTGTAATTTTTTGTTTCTTGCGTTTTATTTTGGCGTAGTGGCCGCAGCTCGACATCAATCATCCTTGGTAATTCAGCACGCGGAACAATCGACAGCTGGACCGTAAATGGATTTACCGGCACGTATATACGGATGACCGCAATAATGATTCGTTCAAACAGAATTATGCACGGCCGATGCCGCGATAACGACGCCGCTAAACGCGGACAAATCGTTGTTACACAATTCCGCGTCGATGACTGGCATTCACGAAATCGACGGTGGACAAAATCGATGATGACGATGATGATGCTGGTGATCGACTGTTGCGTTCTTATTCCCTCTTACCTGCCGTTATTACTCGACACCGTGTACATAAACACTTTCACTGAATTTGAAAAAGTTATTCGGTAGACTTTTTCGATAACGCGTATATTAAAAACTTTAGGTGAGCAAAACGAGATTTTCAGAAATATGTTAGTTAATATTCAAGTCCAGGTTTGATCTCATAACTGAGACGTAACGTCTTTACCTAAGTACTGATTATACTAAAAGAATGACTCTGTAACAAGTTTAGGTTGGGTGTTACATCTAAAAGGTAGCATCATTATCTAAGTACTGATTTCGGTGAAGAAATTGTGCCTGTTAACCCGAGAATCCTCGGCGCGCAGCGACGAATTAGCCGTTCCACAAACTGTAGAGCAAACAGATACACAGGACGAAGTAAGTTAAGTAGGATTCCCAGGGACATTTCGATCTCCTGATTTCGTAGATCCTCTTTAGCCGTGGCTGTTCGCCGCGCGACGCCGCGCCGACTCCGAGTTAATCCTTAACGTATGTCGCGATTTTGCGATCTGCATACTGCTTACCCCGGAGTAATTTCACCGGGACTTAGGGTCGATTCTCAGGAGCAATCGTGGGTGTGAGCGGTTGGCGAGGGGGGAGGGCGATGGGGGTGATGCTACAGCCCCCGTACGAAACGGTTTGCCCAACGTATTAAGTCGTCGGCACGGCAGGATTAACGATCGCTCCAACGCCTCGCGATTTCGTTTGCCATCGCATTAAGAGGGTAAGTCGAGCTTAAAAATCTTCGAACCGCCGTTTTTTACATTTTTATATCTGCCTGTCGGAAAATTAGGTGGCGAATTGTATCAATTAGTGTCAATATTTAGAATTTTAAGGGTACATTAATTTCTGTCAGTTTTATATGCCATTCAAGGAAAAGCAAATTCGGCTTTAGAATTGCCAATTAGTGTTTTTTTTTTCTCGCTTTGCTCAAATCGACTCACTAAATCAAAAGTCGTATATTAATTTTTGTTGCAGGTAAGATTCTTAGGCTCTTTGATTCCGTTTCATTTGGCACGCTGATAGCTTGGTAAGTTAATTAAATTACCCCTGGCGTCGCCGGTTTGGCCCCATTTTGAATAAACGAACAAAAGCTACGTATATCGCAGCACATTTATTATAAAAATTTGTTATCGAATGCTGTCGTTGAAGGTACGATTCGGCGTTCAATCGACTCATCGATTTGTAACAGAAAAATTATGACATTTTGCTATGTCTTTTGACACGATTCTTGACATAGTACTTATCAAGCCAGGATTCCTTTTCCAGGCGAATGGTAACATAAACCGAGGCAGCGTCTACTTTTGCAATGGAATTACACAAAGGTTCGAGTTTCATCCAGAGGGTAAATGGAACCCGTGTTGAAGGCGTCTCTTTAAAAAATTCAGACCTCTTCGGTGTTAACGTTGTAGGAGCGTGGAACAGTAAAAAATGACACCCAAGTCGAGGGTGGTATCCTCGTGTCTGCTATTTCGTTGTAATTAGAAGTCGGTGTAATTCCCGAGGAGCTGCGACGCTAGTAATTATTTTATTTCCCACTTCATGATTTTACAGTAATTAACGAACCCACTTCGCCGGTCGAGAATTACGTCAGTCACCTAGTCGATTCTATCGAGTGACTTTCTTCCCCCTCGTTTTAACCTTAGAATTAGTCCTTTGAAACCTTCGGCCTTAGAATTGTGTTCTCCAGGTTCGTTGTTCGACCAATCATGGACTGTAGTTAATCAGGTTACCATTTCCATGGGCAGTCGGTCGTTGGAGCGTCCTTGAATTCGCTGAGGGTGAATCGGTTCATTGTGCAATCGATCCTGACCAATGAGGGCGGTTTCTGAACAATCAGGCTGCGAAGAACCCATCGAAGGTCCTCGTGGACTGCGAATTTCCTGTCGTTTTTGCTGCTGCGTCGAGGACCATGGGGTGATTACGTTCGAATCGTGATTCTGCCTCTCTTCTTCAACCCCACGCGTTGTCACCCATTTCCAGACCTCGGTAGTTGTAATTTCTGAGTCGAACAAATACTCGAGAGAACTGTACTTCCTTTTTCTTTGGTATTTCCTTTGGCATCGGCAATTCCATCCTGATAGCGGGAGAACTACTTCTTTCTTGAACTTTTTACCAATGGTCTGTTGGTCACGCGACCTAGTCATCAGTTTAATACTCGAAGCGCACAACCGTTCGTATTTATGTCAATAATCATAATTTATGAATATGTAGAAGAGAGTGACTTGTTAATGATTTAATTATATTAAGTTTAAGCAAAATTGGAAACAACTGAATAAACGTAACGTGTGCCTTTTTCGAAGTCGGTTAAAAAGACTTGAAATATTTAACGAAATTTGAGACTAACTATGCCTTAAAAGTTACACGAGCTCTCGAGGTTCGAAATAGTTTTAACGTTGGTGTTTCGAGACTCGCGACTCCTTACCGAGCAGCCTGTATAAATTTCAAATTTATAAGGTTCCCGCGAAATTCCAGAATCACTTCCGGGAAGCGTTGAATCCGTAATTTCGTTAGCCAAGCCTCCAGGAGGGCCGATCGAGTTAAAATTCAAGCAGCCTCGGCCCGATAGGGAACCGGTTGTTAGAATTCTGTTAACTTTCCTGCGTAAGTGGAGCAAAGGGGCGGCGAACGAGTTTAAGTGTTTCGGGAAGGGAGATTGAAAACTTTGGAACAAGAGGGTTGATAGGGTGAAAACGAGGGAAAGCGGAAACTCCAAAGTCCAAGGAAACGATAAAGAAAATCAGATAAAAAAAAAATAAAAAAAAAAAAGACGGAGAAAGTACCTTATAGGCTCATTCCACTCCTAAATACGACAGAGTAATTAATATAGAGTTTCCAAAAGAGAACACAACTGTGTGTTCCAAATGGAGATTTATCCCACGAGAAGACACAACAGTGTCATTTTATTTCCTGGAACCGTACCGATCTAGTCTAAGAGTCTTTTAATCTACAACTGCTTCAAAATCGATACCATAATCGTTTTCAACCCTTAATCAAAACACTGCTCCCAAAAGATGTCCCCCGAGCTCCAGAGCGCGTCGCGCTCGCGAATCCGCTCGCGTCCATCCAGGGGATCCCCCGATGTGGGGGAAGACGAGTCGAAAAAGAGGCGAAGCTGAACGAAACAGGGTTAGTAGAGACGGTCTTCCGGCGCGGGCGGCGGAGACGGAGGCGGAGCGGGTACCGCCAGCGGCGTCCTGGTGAACATCGGCGCAGACTCGACGGTACTCGTGCGGGTTCGCGACTCGTCGGCGGGTTCTGGCTCGGGATTGGCGATGATCGCGTCGCCGGGTTGCGAGGAGCAGGGGGCAGCGTTTGAAAGCCGCGACGCGACCCGGCTGCGGCGACGGCGGCGGCGGCGGCGGCTGCGGAGGCCTACGCGGGCGCCGCGAGAGAGACGCTCCTCAGTTGTGTCAAGCTAGGCGATCGAGTAGGACGCTCTTTAATCGTTCCCACCTCCGAGTTACTCTCTCACGTACACACACACCGCCTCACACACACGCACACATACACATACACCTACACACACCTACACCTACACGCACACACACTCTCTCCTCTCCTTCTCTCTTTCACCTCCCAGTGGTCGGTTCCCCGCAAGCCGCTCTCCGCAGTATCCGGCAACCAGCGCACACGTGCACACAGACAGACACACACGCGCGCGCTCTATCTCTGTCTCTCTTCCCCTCTTTACGTTTCGTTCTCTCCTATATCTTCCCTCTCTCGCCGTCGCCGGTCCGCCTCGTTGTTCGGCACCGATCGCGCTCGTAGTCCGCCACCGCCGCTCTGTTTACCCGCACCGTCTGTCCGCCGGCGGCCACGCGCGCGTGCCAGCCCGAGTCACCCTCGCCAGACTCAGGCAGCCATCAGGAACGGAGAGGTGAACGCTTCAACACCGCCGGGACGGCACGTGATACGACGCGACGCCGCGGGTCCGAGAGTCTTCGATTCTTATCCTCTTGGGAGGCCAGCGTCCCGGCGTCTCCGTATCTGGCGCATGCATGCACACGCTCTGCCACCACACTTCTCGCTGTCCTCCTCCCCTCCGACCGTGTGTGTGTGTCTGTGTGTGTCGAACGCGAGTCCTCGCGAGCAGTGAGAGAACCAGTCGGCTCGGAGGAAGCTCGCTGCCCTGAACTCGGACGGGTTCAAGGTCGTCCTCGTTTCGCAACCGAGGAGCTCCCGACTCGCTCCAAGAGAAATCGAGCGGACAGAGGAGGAGACGACCGAGCACGGATCTGGAGCAGGAGGATCTTAAAGCGGATCGTTGAGAGCACCCAAACAGAGAAAGAGAAGGAGGGAAATCGTCGAGGGAGGACGCGAGGCCGAGAGATTTCTCAGAGATTTATATTTTTCGTTGCGCGGCGGGCCGCGATTCGTCGACAGCTAGATATCGTAGTCATTCGGACGTCGGATGATCCAGCTAGGGTACCAAAGGGGGGACTTTGAGTCGGCGAGGAGTTAAGACGCGGTTAATTAGAAACATAAAGGAAACCGAGGAAAGTGGCTCGACTTCGTAATTCATTAGACGTTTAACGGACGTTTTTCAGTAAGTAATTAGGCTATCTAAAGTAATTAAGTATGTAAGGAGAGATGGTCGCGCGTGAATCATGAGCGACTGATCGAATTAAAGAGAATCGCGTCAAGACAATCAAGCACAGTAGCGGGTTGGGCATATAATCGTGAAACGAGAAGAGGGAAGTTCGCGAAAAAGGTTTCTCTCCACCCTCCCCCCTTCTTCCCTACCCCCTCCCTCCACGAGGAAGCGTGTCTTCATGTGATCTCCAGCCTCTGTACCGACTCTACGCGTGTACACGCTCTGTATCTACATAGATATATATGTACATATACTTCTATATATATATATATATATATATTTACCTCTATATATATATATTTACATACGACATATTATATATATTTACACTTGTATACATACGTTTACATGTATACAATCCTCGCACATATCCAAACGTCGGGCCACGTTGCCGTTCAACGAGCGACCCAGTTCAAGAACGAAACAAACGGGAGCCTGTCGTTTCTTCCCTGTGCCCCTAGGTCAGGGGCGTTCTCTGTCAATCTTCGTGACAATCATTTTCAGCTAGCTCTCTTAGGGTATTCGACTAGCTCTAGCTAGCTCTTTTTAATCGCCGTACCTTTCGACGCAGCCGGCGCGTATCGCGTTCAACCGCTGTTCGGATAAGAGGCAGGAACTTTAGAAGCAAACAAAACAAGTAATAACACGTACCTACGTCGTTTCAATTAACGTACGAGCGAGCTGCGCGAGGAGGACTCCACGAGCGGGTCAGCGCGTCTTCGTCTCCTTTTAACGCTCTCCCCGCACTTGACACACATTTATACGCCGTGTATATTGTATATCCCACTCCCCACACCCCCTCCTGTTTTTACCTTTGCACGGCCTGTCCGCGACATCTTCAGACTACTCGCTCACCTGCTGACAATCATCACTTTGTACCGTTGAGCGCGTGTCACGCTCAACTTAGGGTAACCTAGGTCTATCCGACACTATCGCTTAGGTTTACCGGTCTCCGGACTCTCTATGTGTCGCGACTGCACTGTTATACGATAAAAATTTCATACGCCTAAGCGTAAGCTAGCAAGTAAGGTTTAAGCGAGAAGGGTCAGTTTCCTCGAGACCTAAGGACTCGCCGAGTGCGTCCCACGTCCGAACGACTATACCAACCGGTGGATCAACGACGGAAGTCGATCCAGGGAAAGTAAAAACCGGCCCGTTAGAGGCGACCGAACCGATATCGTCGGCCGAGCGTTCGACCTCCTCGAGCGTCCAGCGCGTCGATCGCGAGGACATAGAGGGGGCACGAGAATCGGTCAAACTGTGGTGGCCGTCGTGCGAGTTAACCCGACCTAGCAAGACGGAATCTCGTTATCAGACGTCTTTGGAACGTGCCTTGAACGCACAGGAACGCGCCTGGAGCGCACAGGAACGCACCAGGTTCTTCTGGAGCCTGCAGTCGTTGGCCGCGACCGGGAACCGCGGCTTCCTACCCCAACCAAGCAAGTCTTGGCTCGCGGATACCATCGGCGCCGACGAGGCACGTTCCTCCATCACCACGTATTTTCATTCGTACCCGTTCATACCGGGTGGTGCGGTGTCCCTGCCTCCGCCCCTGCTGAGCAGCATCAACAACGCGGCGGCAGCAGCGATCACCCCCGGCCTGGTAGGACATCTCTTCGCCGGCCAGCAAGCCTGCAACTTGGCCTGCAGCTGCACCTGCACGAATATCGCCAACTGCAACCCGCACCACCACCAGCACCACCATCACCAGCAGCAGCAGCACCACCATCAACAGCAACAGCACCAGCATCACCGACCGCTAGGCGCTACAACGGTCCTCCTGCAACCGGTTGAACACATCAAAGACACTATGGTGAGTCGTGTTCTCTATCATACCCTAATGCCCCATTGCGGGATTAACTGGTGCCGGTTAATGGCATAAAGCGGAGCTAGCCCTGAGCCTATTGTCAGGCTTAGAGCTAAGACAGAGTTCACTGGGTGGCGAACACGCTCTCAGAACTGGGTTTAATACCGGGAATCCTAAGCGAAATCCTTAATGGATCCATTTGTTAGCTCATCTGGGAATATAGAGCAATACGGTTGCATTGGCTAGGTGGCATTGTCGATAGACTCTAGGCGGTATTTGCTACAAAATCTACGAAAACGTTGACTAATCGATCCAGGTCTCGAACACAGAGTTTGCTAGGTAGCTTTGCTAGCGAACCTGCTAGGTTTAATACCAAGACTACTAAGTAAAATCATTGATAAACTTTACCGGTAGTCTCAGCTTGGCGTATGAAACAATATGGTCACATGATTGCGAGTCCATAGACTCAGATTTCAGATACAAGATTTATTTCGTTGGGGGACAGACTCTCGGATATTTAATTTTGGGGAAAAGATTAAGAATTAATTTATACGCGCTAATATCTTGTTGGTTCCGATCATCCGAGAGGAATTGGACTACAACCCACAAAGTTTGCCCGTGGTCGCCGATGGTTAATACTTGCAAACGACCATGGGCGCGAACCTGGCCTGGCGCCCTTGGACTGGTCCAGTGAATCGGAAACAGATTTAGCCGCGGTGAATCACTTCCAACGTTTACCGTGTAAACAGGAGGGAGTTTCCTACTGAAAACCCCGAACCTTGGTACGAACTACACCCTTCCCTCCTCTCTTTTTCATTCCCTCATTCTCTCCCACTCGGCTGTTTACGGAGGTTTGCGACAGGGGAAGGAGGAAGACGCTTTAAATCCCGCCGTGTCTACCGCGGCATCCTCTTTAATCCTCCCACGATCGACAGGTGTCGAGAGAGGGGTGCAAAGAGGGAGAAGGGGAGGAGTGGGAGATCCTACACTCGCGGAAACGCATCTGCCGATCGAGAATCCTGAACAAACTGAGGCTTTCCGCTCGATCGTGCGATCCCCGTTTCCAAGGGCTTGGAACATCATTTTCTGCTCCCTTGCCTGCGCCGGGGAATTGCGTTAGGCACACCTGTCTTGCCACGATCGACCCAGGTCTTCTCGTTTTCATTGCTGGCGAATCACCGCCAGGTTAGATCTCTCCCGTTTTGAGGATCAGTAGAACCAGGATCAGATATTCGATACCAACTACCACAATTATTTAAAAAAGACTTAGAGGAATAGCGAGTCACTAGATTAAAAATTCAATACAAATTTAGGGTGCAAAAGATTAAACTGAGTGACTCCTGAGAGAAGTATTTAGCGATCCTGCGCGCATGGATATGCAACTCCACTCTGGACAAGGTATTTCCGTAGCCAATAAAAGGGCCACCATTCGAGGCGGGATATTTATTCGCTTCTTTTTTCACAAATTTTGAAGGAAACTTCAACAAGTGGGCGACGAGGACTCCAACGAATGAGAGGAATGCTTCTCTAGTTATCTGTATAGCCTTTCCTTATGTATACTGGGTAATTAGCACTAAAGTCAGTAGCAAAAATGATAAACCAGTGAGTTATCAAGCACTTTGACCTCTTCGTTTGAGAACTTTGTTTATCTTTCCGTTTGCTGGATGCACTGAGATTGATTCAATCCTTTTGCTTGTTCCAACGAAGTTGCAAGTCACTCTAAGCTTTACGCAATATGCAAATACGGAGGATACTTGGAGAAGTACCAGGCATCTTTTTTGTGGCACGCAATTTTTAGTAAAATTTTACAGTATCTATTTATAGCTCACTTTAGTAGAAAATTTGGTATACGAGTTTAAATTTCGATACAGTGTAACACATAATAAAGTTGTGCAAGTCGTTTTTGTGAAATTGGATTTGGAATGTCAAAGGAATTGCAGGGTTTGGATTCAATTAAGTAACCGTTACTTTTCTTCTTTGTGTCTCCTTCTCAAAGAGCGCCCGCTTTGAGTTAGCGACACCTCGGATAAAGTAATTGATAACATCGTTGTTCAGGCGTCCTGATTGCTCGTCCAACTTCGATTGAGAATCAATCGAGTGCACCAGAGTGCGCTTTAATCGAGGCGTGACGGTAAATCGTCAGAACCGAAACGATTCCCCTGCGATGATCGAGCCAAGACGGTGGGAATTAATTGAAGAGATACCTTGATAGTTTGAGAGGTTTGGATATCTCTGAGAAAATTGGCTACTTGACACGATAGGTCCAAAAAAAAGAGAAATGTATAATATTGAACGTAACTTCCTCAACTTTAAAAATCTTCCGATAAAATGTTGGTAAAACATTCACCAAACAATAATTTCGATTAATTACGATTAGTTACTCAATTCCTAGAACTGCAAAGCTAAAAATCGAGGTCCATTTTGAAAAATTACAAAGTTAGCTTCTCAAGAATCGAAGAATAAAGGGGTGGCGAGTGGAAGAAGAGGAAACGTATCAATTCGGTTAGCTCGGAGAGCGTCGCGACGCTATTTCAAGCTCCGCGTGGTGGGGGTTTAAAACAGGAGAAAAGAATCACGCGACCTAAATTCCCAATAACAGTATTCCAACGAAGAGGAACTTGTCCTTCCTCTCCCATTTTCTTTTTCTTTTGTTCCGAGGGAAATGGTGACTGAGCATACGGGGGTGGGACACAAAGAGGTGCCGTGCGTGAATCTCGTTTCTCTTCTGATTCGCGTCGCGAGCCTACTTTCGATCTCATTTCGAAGGATCGCCCTCCATCTTGCGTCGCCTCGAACCTTCAACAGCAATTCCCCCAGCTAGGGGTGGCTGTCGAGACAGGGGGCTGGAAAGAAAAGGAAGGGGTGCAAATGGGGTGGTATCGTAATGCAGTATTGTGAAGACGTGCCTCGGGGCTCTCTCAGGGCTGAGATGTAGCTACGATATGCAGTTATGCGCGCAAGAAGAGGAGAAAGGCAAAGGTGGTTCAACAGCGATGGCGACGAACCACCTTAGAATCTCTACCCATGGTTCCTCTTTGAATTCTACCTTGTAATATGTTTATTTAATTAAGAATTTAAAGATAAATATTAAAATAGTGAATGGATTTTAATATTTTTACTCTTGAAACAATTCCAACATTTTTGTTCTTACATATAAATAAATACGAATCATGTTATGCAGTAATGGGAGAAAACATGACGCATAAATAACCCACCACGAAATGCTTCTCATGGACAATATTATTCAGGATAATAAAACCAGAGGTATCCTGAATATGTATAATACAACTGGGAATATATTATCTTGAAGATAACATTTCTTGCAATTTCGAAAGGAAATACTATCTTTCAATCAAAATATTTATTTTAATCAATAAACCACTGGACACCAGTCTTGATCTGAAACTGTTTGAAATATAATGAAACGAAAGAATGTTGATGTATATTTTACCAAGTTAACCAGTAGCCCTTTTTAAAGTCCTTTTCTAAAAATGAAACTATAAGATTCGATGTCACTTGAAAACGAACCTCAAAAGGCGAGATTGTCTTTGTGTACGAATCCAACAACCTCGTCTATACAAACCACGCGGTAGTATAAACAATTGATCGGAACGCCGCACAGTGCATCGAACAATGGACAAAAGTACAAAAAAAAGTTTTCGAAAATTTTTGTTTAGCTACTGGGATTAGTAAGTACAATCGTATTTCGCGCCTTTTCCTGGAGATCACAGTTGTGTAGTACCTCTCACTCTCCATAGTGGCGCCACTGAGTTTAAAGCTTACGAAAAATTCTCCAACCGAAAACATTTATTCAGCTTTCCTTATTATTTTTTATCGTATTCAAAACGAGTCTCACGATGTGTGGTAAATAATTTTGAACTATTTTGAACACCTTTTCCATTTTTTATAACTTCCAATTTGTCACTATCTCCTTTTCTTCTGAACAAGAGTTTTATTTCAAACTTGTCAATTGATTCGGATACCGATGACTCTGAATAATTTGTAATTGTTTGAAAAACACTTTTAATAAGTTTATTATATGTAATTTAAAAAAAATAGAAAATTAAAAACATTACCCAACGACTCATTTGATTTTTCTCCATATCTTCCATATGTCCAGTGCACTGTGCGCCGACGGAAAACCTCGAGCAGGTCATGACACGCCCTTGGTTAGGCGTCCTACCGAATTCTCATAGTCTTCGTTCGACCGTTGTACAGTTTGAACGCGTCGTGACTCATTCCTCGAATATTTTCGTCTCAGTTTTTCGTTTACTCGCGGACGTGTCGTGGTCTTGGCGTGGACGTGTAGATTTTTACGTGTTTCCGGACGTGCTGTGGGCTAGTACGTGTGTGTAGGTGGGCGTTTGACTTTGCTGGGGTCCAGTGCTTTCGACGAATACGTCATGATTTTCTGCGATCGCGTGGTTGCTCCAGAGGCTCCGCAACTTTCTTCTTTCCCTTTCTACAGGTGCCATAAGGTACGAAAAGTTGAAATTTTACGTTGAAATTTTACGTTGCTTTAAACGGAATATGTACCGTTTACGAAAATAATTTCGACGAAGGATGTACATTGATAATACTGGGGAATTTCAAGGTTAGGTCCTCCGAGGAAATCTACCTGTTCTTTCGACAGCTCACAAAAGCAGGTAGAGTCCTCGGGAACCGTGTAAACTCTCTACAACAATGGCACCTCTCGACCGGCCCATACTAGAGAAATAAACCTCAACCTCTTCAAGAATACCGGCACAAGGGTTTTCGTTTGGTTACTTGAAATACTGTACAACGGAGTTAACCACTACAATTCTCAATAAATTTAACTGGCCACGACTAAATTTCACAATGACGTAATACGGAAACCATCGTAACAATATTAACCCTTTGCATTGTTAGGTCACTAAAGAAGCAGTTTCTTTAAAACAATTGCAAGTGCAAAGGGTTATAATTATGAAGCTATTCGGCTAGAGGCTCGCGTTTATACTCACTAGAACAAACGAAAATTATTATTA